GCACAGGTGGCTGAGTCTTTTCAAGACTGTTCAAATAACACTATTCAGTTGGCCTAAATAGTATCAAACGACTCTAAATTTGGTCTAAAATGCCCTAGTAGACTCTAACTGGTCCAAAAAGGCTCCAAAGACAGTCAAGTTTCAAACGACTTTTTTTTTTTTGGTTGGTCTAAGAGTCACCAACGAAAAGACTCTTCAGTTGAGCCATAAATTCTCTTAAGACTGTTGTTGATCCCAGAAGGCCCTAAAGATTTAAGTTGTTCTCAAAAGTCCCAGAAGACTCCTCCAAAGATTTTTCATTTGGTCCAGAAACTTGATTACCACACTTTCAAAACGTCTTTAAAGGCTGTTCAAGTGACCTCAAAAATCTCTAAATCCTTTTTTTTTTTCAGAAAGTCTTTCAAGACTCTTATTGATCTAAAAAGTCTCTTACGAGTATTCTGTTGATCAACTTTCATTTAACCGAACTGTCATACTTTTTGTTTCAATCGTTTGCTGCTGCTGCTGGCTGCCGTCCTCCTCGTCACCTCTAAGGTAAGTCCTATTTAAGTCCCCCCTGTTTTTCCCCAAAATGTAAGTATCCCCCTCCACCCTGCACGTGCCCCCTCTTCCCCTGTTGGCGTTCGTCTTGTATTGGTCTGCAGTGTGTTTTCTCCTCCCTTGGTGTTGGTCCTTCTCGCCCACCTACCTGTAAGATCAGGTGAGTGAGGTGTTAGCTTAGCAGCGGGTACTCTGCAGCCCCCACTAACTCTTCACATCTCCGGCCCCTTCCATTCCCTTTTCCCTCAACCCCACCCCCTCCGCTTTCCCACCTCAGCAGGTCTTGGGTGAACCTGTACTGCATACTGCACAAAGGCGGGCTGGGCTTCTACAAGGATGCCAAGAACACCGCCACGGCATACAACAACGAGCCAATGCTCAACCTTGCCCACTGCCATTGCGATGTCACCAACGGATACAAGAAGAAGAAGAATGTCTTCACGCTCAAGTACAAGATCAGTCTCGTCCCCACGCCTTATATTGCAACTTTTAACTCCTTATTGCCCCATTTATACCGAACACAATCAAACTGATTGATCTCATGTGCTCACAGGACGAAGGATGGGAGCGAATTCTTATTCCACGCAAAAGATGAAGTGAGTCATTCTTTTGTTTTTTAACACGGCAATGGAACTTGACGGAAATTTACTCTGACTCGTTTATGTGCCGGTGTCAGGAGGACCTGAAGACGTGGGTGAGCAGTATTGGCAGCAGCATCGCGGAACACGAGGAGATGGGTGATATTGTTTGATATATGGCACAAGATAAATGTTTGAGTTGTGACACAAAAATACAAGTAACAAACTTAAATGACAACACATATGGCCCACAATGGTTCTTTTTTTTTTTTTTTTTTTGGTAAAATACTTATCTTAAACCAATATACCGGTAATGTTATTATAATTCATTTTTTCAATATTTATTTCAGAAGGTGGAAAAGCTGATGGTGATGTTTTTTTTTTCTTTTACACCCCAAAAATGTTTTATAAAACTTCTAATATACATTTTCCCAGAAACACGAGGAGTTGCCTAAATCTGTTTTACTTGGCGTACTAATTAATGTGCTTGCTCAAAATTGTGTTTATTCTTTATGTCTGTGTAGAATCGCAGGGTTATAGTAACACGCAAAGTTTGAATAGAGGCAACTAGGCTGTCCTTACTCATTCAAAAATGAATTCTTGATGCTATTAGGCTAACCATATCTCTGAACGCAGCTATGTGCATTCATTCATATGTAAATCTTCTTGATTGACCCCTCTCCAGGCCCGAGGCGAGGTTTCCCACCTGCCAAACGGCCTACCAGAGAAGTCTTCCCGTCCTGACCGGCCTCGAGCTCGGGACAGACCCAAACCACGGCGCCGGCCGCGACCCAAAGAGACAGGAGAAACCACGCGGCGTTCTCGCTCGGCTCCAGCTCAGAGTGGCCCCGCGGCCCCCCAGCCACCCACACACAGTGCACATCATGAGGGTTTCCTCTTCCGCAAGCTAGACATTGAGAGCCTAAAGAAGAGCACCAACAGGTGGGTCTTCGGGGTCCTGATACTATGCAAGACATGTCTGACAATACTCACAGCAGTTCATCACAGGTGGTTTTACATACAAAACTTATCCAGCAGAAAAGGAATTCCCCCAAAGTTTCCGCACAGGTGGCTGAGTCTTTTCAAGACTGTTCAAATAACGCTATTCAGTTGGCCTAAATAGTATCAAACGACTCTAAAATTGGTCTAAAATTCCCTACTAGACTCTCTAACTGGTCCAAAAAGGCTCCAAAGACAGTCAAGTTTCAAACGACTTTTTTTTTTTTGGTTGGTCTAAGAGTCACCAACGAAAAGACTCTTCAGTTGAGCCATAAATTCTCTTAAGACTGTTGTTGATCCCAGAAGGCCCTAAAGATTTAAGTTGTTCTCAAAAGTCCCAGAAGACTCCTCCAAAGATTTTTCATTTGGTCCAGAAACTTGATTACCACACTTTCAAAACGTCTTTAAAGGCTGTTCAAGTGACCTCAAAAATCTCTAAATCCTTTTTTTTTTTTCAGAAAGTCTTTCAAGACTCTTATTGATCTAAAAAGTCTCTTCAGAGTATTCTGTTGATCAACTTTCATTTAACCGAACTGTCATACTTTTTGTTTCAATCGTTTGCTGCTGCTGCTGGCTGCCGTCCTCCTCGTCACCTCTAAGGTAAGTCCTATTTAAGTCCCCCCTGTTTTTCCCCAAAATGTAAGTATCCCCCTCCACCCTGCACGTGCCCCCTCTTCCCCTGTTGGCGTTCGTCTTGTATTGGTCTGCAGTGTGTTTTCTCCTCCCTTGGTGTTGGTCCTTCTCGCCCACCTACCTGTAAGATCAGGTGAGTGAGGTGTTAGCTTAGCAGCGGGTACTCTGCAGCCCCCACTAACTCTTCACATCTCCGGCCCCTTCCCTTCCCTTTTCCCTCAACCCCACCCCCTCCGCTTTCCCACCTCAGCAGGTCTTGGGTGAACCTGTACTGCATACTGCACAAAGGCGGGCTGGGCTTCTACAAGGATGCCAAGAACACCGCCACGGCATACAACAACGAGCCAATGCTCAACCTTGCCCACTGCCATTGCGATGTCACCAACGGATACAAGAAGAAGAAGAATGTCTTCACGCTCAAGTACGAGATCAGTCTCGTCCCCACGCCTTATATTGCAACTTTTAACTCCTTATTGCCCCATTTATACCGAACACAATCAAACTGATTGATCTCATGTGCTCACAGGACGAAGGATGGGAGCGAGTTCTTATTCCACGCTAAAGACGAAGTGAGTCTTGTGTTTTTTAAAACGGCAATGGAACTTGACGGAAATTGACTCTGACTTGTTTATGTCAGGAGGACCTGAAGACGTGGGTGAGCAGTATTGGCAGCAGCATCGCGGAACACGAGGAGATGGCCAAGTGGGGCCTCCCCCAAGCAACTACCTCATCCACCGATGAGGGCACGCGGCACGACGGCAGCAAGGCTGGCTCGGAGCGTGGCGGCGAGCGATCAGACCGAGCCGAGAAGGCAGAGAAGGCGGAAAAAGAGAAAGAAAAGGACAAGGAACGGGACAAAGACAGGGCAGAGCGCTCAGATCGCGGTAGAAAGGTGGAAGCCAAACGCTCAGAGAAGTCCAGTAAGAAAAAATGATGTCTTCTCACCGCCTCCCACGTGGAAGCGCTTGGATGCAACGTGACGCAGGAAAGAAGAACTGTTTGAACTGACTTCTTCTCCTACTGTGTCTACGCCGTAACTCGGCCAACTGGCTGTGCAGGGAAGTGGAGCGGGAAGATGATTGCCGCTTGTGAGACAGAATATCAAGTAGCTTGCGCTGTTCCTATTCTGATTGCTTTTATGAACTGTGTGTGTGTGCGTGTGCGTGTGTGTGTGTGTGTGTGTGTGTGTGTGAGTGTGTGTGTGTGTGCGCGTGTGTGTGTGCGTGCGTGAGTGCGTAGAGTTCAGAGTAATAGCAGTGTAATTAAAAAAGTGAGTAAACCTCAAAATTCTGACAATAGCAATTTTTTGTTTTCAGTACCAGCAAATTTATTCGCAACACTTTGAATCCAAATAAACATCAAAGAAAAAAATATATCAAAGATGTTACTCCTTTGAAGAACATGAAAGAAAAAAAGAGAGAAACTATCAACTAAAAAATATGTGAAGATTTTAACATTTCTGTGATGCAATACACATGTGAAGCACGCTACAGTTGGTTGAAAATGTCTGAAAATTCTGGAGTTGGTCCCAAAGGTCCATCTTTGAAGATTCTGCAGAACAAAAATGCTTTAATAATTTACGATAAATAATAAATAATCTTCCTTAAAGACTCATAAGTGAGTTCAAAAGGAGTGGGCTAACATCTGGCACCTGTGAATTGGTATGACACATAGATGTGAGGCACTTTTTTAAACACACTGCTATTTATACCGAACACAACTGTGTCTTTTAGTGGAGGAAGCCCTCTATCTGAAATTGATCTCATTGATCATACCACGAAAATCATCCAAATTTCTCTTTTTTTTTTTTTTGTTTCCATCAAATGGGAATCTGGTTGATGTGTACGTCTGTCCATTGCTCTCAGGTTTCTAACATGTGTTGTAAGCGTGTGCTTGGTGTGTTCAAATGTCTTCCAGATGTGTGGTTCCAAACCAACAGAAATGTCAGCGGAGTGGAAGCAAGGAATGTTGAATGAATGATTGAATGGATGGACAAATGAATGAATGGATGGCAGACCGGAAACCGCTTCAGCTGTCACACCTTTTGACTTTGCATGTCTGATTCGACGTGAAATCACATGTAGGAAAAAAATAAAAACAAAACACTCATTTGTTTCACGCCTCTAGACTTCGACTCAAAAGACTGGCTGCTCAATTTTTAATGATGTCCTACTCTTTGCCTACTTGAGTACAATTGGACCCCTATTCGCAACACTTTGAATCCAAATAAACATCAAAGACAAAAATGTATCAAAGATGTTACTCCTTTGAAGAATATGAAAGAAAAAAAAAGAGAGAGAAACTATCAACTAAAAAATATTTGAAGATTTTAACATTTCTGTGATGCAATACAGATGTGAAGCACGCTACAGTTGGTTGAAAATGTCTGAAGATTCTGGAGTTAGTCCCAAAGGTCCATCTTTGAAGATTCTGCAGGACAAAAATGCTTTAATAATTTATGATAAATAATAAATAATCTTCCTTAAAGACTCATAAGTGAGTTCAAAAGGAGTGGGCTAACATCTGGCACCTGTGAATTGGTATGATACATAGATGTGAGGCACTTTTTTAAACACACTGCTATTTATACCGAACACAACTGTGTCTTTTAGTGGAGGAAGCCCTCTATCCGAAACTGATCTCATTGATCATACCACGAAAATCATCCAAATTTCTCTTTTTTTTTTTTTTTGTTTCCATCAAATGGGAATCTGGTTGATGTGTACGTCTGTCCATTGCTCTCAGGTTTCTAACATGTGTTGTAAGCGTGTGCTTGGTGTGTTCAAATGTCTTCCAGATGTGTGGTTCCAAACCAACAGAAATGTCAGCGGAGTGGAAGCAACGAATGTTGAATGAATGATTGAATGGATGGACAAATGAATGAATGGATGGCAGACCGGAAACCGCTTCAGCTGTCACACCTTTTGACTTTGCATGTCTGATTCGACGTGAAATCACATGTAGGAAAAAAATAAAAACAAAACACTCATTTGTTTCACGCCTCTAGACTTCGACTCAAAAGACTGGCTGCTCAATTTTTAATGATGTCCTACTCTTTGCCTACTTGAGTACAATTGGACCCCTGTTTTCATTGCGAATCCTTCACATTTTATCTGGGATACCTGCTTCAGATCAGGACTATTTTGGCAATATTTTGTAGGAGTTCGTCAGAGCCCTGGAATTTGCCTCAAATGGCTGCTTCAAGCCAAAATGTCCAATGTCTTGTTGTATTTCAGTCTTGGGTCCTTGAGACTTTTTAGCAGAGTTGGGCATACTTCTACAGTTGGTTGAAAATGTCTGAAGATTCTGGAGTTAGTCCCAAAGGTCCATCTTTGAAGATTCTGCAGGACAAAAATGCTTTAATAATTTATGATAAATAATAAATAATCTTCCTTAAAGACTCATAAGTGAGTTCAAAAGGAGTGGGCTAACATCTGGCACCTGTGAATTGGTATGATACATAGATGTGAGGCACTTTTTTAAACACACTGCTATTTATACCGAACACAACTGTGTCTTTTAGTGGAGGAAGCCCTCTATCCGAAACTGATCTCATTGATCATACCACGAAAATCATCCAAATTTCTCTTTTTTTTTTTTTTTGTTTCCATCAAATGGGAATCTGGTTGATGTGTACGTCTGTCCATTGCTCTCAGGTTTCTAACATGTGTTGTAAGCGTGTGCTTGGTGTGTTCAAATGTCTTCCAGATGTGTGGTTCCAAACCAACAGAAATGTCAGCGGAGTGGAAGCAACGAATGTTGAATGAATGATTGAATGGATGGACAAATGAATGAATGGATGGCAGACCGGAAACCGCTTCAGCTGTCACACCTTTTGACTTTGCATGTCTGATTCGACGTGAAATCACATGTAGGAAAAAAATAAAAACAAAACACTCATTTGTTTCACGCCTCTAGACTTCGACTCAAAAGACTGGCTGCTCAATTTTTAATGATGTCCTACTCTTTGCCTACTTGAGTACAATTGGACCCCTGTTTTCATTGCGAATCCTTCACATTTTATCTGGGATACCTGCTTCAGATCAGGACTATTTTGGCAATATTTTGTAGGAGTTCGTCAGAGCCCTGGAATTTGCCTCAAATGGCTGCTTCAACCATTATCTTGTTGTATTTCAGTCTTGGGTCCTTGAGGCTTTTTAGCAGAGTTGGGCATACTAATACACTAATATACAATATACTTTTGCTTATGCTATTCAGGGTCGGAGCGTGCTGAATTTACAACAAGCCAATCAACTGATTATATTATTTTATGAATGAATCACAACATTTTGGAAATTTCATTTGAACTATCCAATTTTAGGGGTAAATTGCTAAATTAATGCAAAAAAAAAAATACAGGACTCTCGATCTTGTATAATGCAAATACTTGTGTGCCATATGACCTAGCCGTATGTGGG